GACTAATTATATGAACTCATTCTCCCATATAGTGAAAGTGGCTTTGAAATGAAACAAACTCATGAACAAACAATTATAAAGACTCCTAAAAAACCTTTTGGGCAACCTAAAGCCGATAAAAAGGTAGGAAATATTGTGTTAAACAAATTCAACAATCACGTTTTTTAGGGAACACAATCGTCATACTTATTATTATGCTTATCCTCCCTTCATTTAACTAAGATTTTAATGACTTCACTCTATCTATCGCAGTTAGCTGAATTTACATAAAACCTCAAGATTAACCGTCGATTTTGACGGGGTTCCACTAGTAAGTATAAAAGAGGATGTCTGTATATATATTTGTTTGTTTGTTTGTTTGTTTGTTTGGCAGTGATAAACTCAGACACCGCTGAACCGATTGCCACGAAACTTGGTACATACGTGTAGAATGTCATGGAATAGGTTTATACACCATCAATTTCGTGATCCGTCCAATCGGCTCCGCCCCAGTGGCTCTGCAGTTTCCCATGTTAACCTTATGAGAAATGGAATTAATGAATCTTAACAGCTGTTTCAATTAAACAAGTTGGTTCTGTTCTATGATGTTCAATAGGTAGCATTAAAGTTACAAGGATTACCAACAGGGTGCAGCACTATTATTTCTTTTACATTTATGACAACAGCTAATTTGCAACCAAAAGGTGAGTGAGCGTAGCAAACGAACTTCAACCTGGAGGCGAGTTAGCGTAGCGAACGAACTCCAACCTAAAGGTGAGTGAGCGTAGCGAACGAACTTCAACCAGGACGTGATTGAGCCATGCGAACGAGATCATCTTGAAAATTAAGAAGTTGAACGGGGCAAAGCCCGCGGGATTATAAATAGTCAAAGGCAAGACAACGTCTGCCGGGTTCAGCTAGTTATATATAGAATAGATGAGTAAGTTGTTCAAACATCCCAATTCTCTAGAAGTTAAGTCTCAAATGAACAGTTTAAAAAAGGAATATAGGCAAAAGATAGAAAAAGCTCGAATTTTACATAATTGCAATTACATAGAAAATAGCAGTAATAAATGTAAGGCTGCCTGGAAAATAATACAAGATAACACTAAGACCTCTCGTTCTCATGAAAAAATTCCAATAACACCACAACAGTTTAATGACTTTTTCATAGATTCAGTTGAGGGCATCAAGCAGCAAATTAATACTGTGCCGCAGCAAGGAGCTACTCAGTGCAATCCAGATAGTCAAATCCATAACATCAACCACATTTCCCCGCCAGTTTTCTCTTTTAATCCTGTAACTCCCGAATCTGTTCTTAAAGCTGTAAAACGCCTAAAAAATTCCAACAGTAATGATTTTTACAATATATCAAACAACTCATTAAAACACATTATATCTGGTATATTACACCCATTCACTTTATGTATCAACTTCTGTCTGCTAAATGGTAATTTCCCCAAGGAACTGAAGATTTCACTTGTTTGTCCGATCTTTAAGAAATGTGCTAGGAATAGGCCTGAAAGTTATAGGCCCATATCAATCATACCAACTCTATCTTAAAGTCATTGAGATACTTGTGTTTGATCAAGTCAGCAATTTTTTAGAAAATAACAATCTTATTTATATGTCTCAATATGGATTCCGCAGTGGTATGTCAACCACAGATGCCATCTACAACAGAAAAATCACATGCCAGAAAAATTGATGCCTTAGTACAAGAAGTATTAAATACTTTTGAGAGGAAGGCCTTTGCTTGGGCCACACTGTGTGACCTGAACAAGGTCTTTGACTGTGTGGCTCATATAGCATAAAGCAGAACCGTTGTTTGAGAATATAAGTACGGTACACATATATGTATATATTTTCTGTTTCATTGATAAATGCAGAATATAATGATATAAAAATCATTTTTTTCTATTAATGCGTTTGTACAACACCTTTGATAAAATGTGTAAAAAAAATTTTGTTGTTTTCTTGTGGGTTGCTTTTGAAATTTCTAATTTGCATAATCCAAAAATTTGCAAACCTTTTGCTACTACACCCAAACGCATTAATAGAAAAAAATGATTTTTATATCATTATATTCTGCATTTATCAATGAAACAGAAACTATATACATATAAGTGTACCGTACTTATATTCACAAACAACGGTTCTGTGGTAAAATATAAATACATGGTACTAATACAAAGGGCCAAAATATAGGCTACCCGCCACTGGTGAATAAAATGACTGCCAGAGTGCCAGATCTAGGGTTAACTTATATCCTACTCGCTAAAAAGAACAAAAATGTCAAATAGCCTACTTTAACCCTTTTTTTTTGTTTGACTTTTTTGTTTCTAGTAGTGAGTAACTTAAGTTAGGCCTAACTAATAAGTGGGTACACTTCCGTATCTGTTGGCACAAACAACTGAATGAAAATATCGATCAATAAGTTATATCGATTAAATTATTCTATATCGTTTGGTTAGTTAGGTAAGGTTAACCTAATTAACTTATGAAAATCGATATTTTGATTCATATAATCGATATATTGATTGATATTTTCATTCGGTTGTTTGTGCCAACCGATAACTTAACTTATGGAAGTGTGAAGTGTACCCCATAAGTTAAGTTAAGACTCTGAGTAGAAACTCACCCTGTACATATTCATGTCGGCCTATATAAGTTAGGCTATGTAGGTCCCCTCTGGGCACTTAAAAATTAAAAAGTAGGTAAATCTGTCCCGGATCTAGGTCTCCGGTTCTTTTATCTCAGAATCAAATAACAAAGGAAAAGCCATTTAGAAGATCATTAATAGTGAACGGAAGCAAAAACAAGAAACTTCTTACATTCAAAGACTCAACCGAGGGGACACGAGAGTTGACGATCCTATGGTAATCTCCAATGAGTTTAACAAGTACTTCACATCAATAGCTGAAGAAACACTGAAGAAGAATGGACTTCAAGATACTGAGCACACGCAATCTAGGGTATGGGAAATTGAGGCCCCTGTTTTCATTCTAAACCCCATTACAAAGGAAGAGCTTCACAAGATAATTTCGGATATGAAGAACATAACATCATCGGGTCTTGATGAGTTTTCTTCGCTGATAGTGAAGTATTGCAAGGACGAGCTTATAACACCTTTGCTCCATATTTTCAATTTGAGCTTTAAGAATGGCCATGTCCCTAGCAAAATGAAAATGTCGAAAGTGATCCCCCTTCATAAAGCAAGCAGCAAGGATGAAGTGGAAAACTATAGGCCAATTTCACTGATTTCAACCTTTTCTAAAATGATTGAAAAGGCTGCAATGCACAGGATAATGGAACATCTTAAACTGAATAACATTAATCTTAGGGAACAGCATGGTTTCACACCAAAGAGGTCAACATCTACAGCGCTTGTGAGTCTTATTAAGAGTATATCGTAGACAAACTTGAAGATGGTGAGACTGTTGTGAGTGTTTCTATCTGGACTTGAGCAAGGCTTTCAACTGCCTCAGCCATGACCTAATATTAAAGAAACTTTGTGCTCTTGGCTTACAGGAAAAAGTTCTTTTGTGGTTTGGGAGTTACATGAAAGAAAGAGAACAGGGTGGAGATTAAGAAAAATTTGAATGGATCAATTTCTTCGGTCCGATCAAATAGGCTTCCAACTAATAGAGGCATTCCACAAGGTTCTGTTTTGGGCCCTGTTCTTTTTATACTTTTTACATCAGACTTGCCTTCTTACACTGGTCCTTACTGCAATGCAATTATGTATGCAGACGACACAGTTCTCATAACAACCCATCAAAATAAGGAAGATCTAGAAATCCAGTCCTTCATTGCTGTTAACATGGCTATGGAGTATTGTAATAAGAATGGCCTCGTCTTCAATGAAGCAAAGACAAAACAGCTTACTCTGGGCAGATTGAAAGCAGCGGATGTGTCACAGCTTCCTAATATCGATCGGGTGGACGCTACAAAACACCTAGGCCTAGTAATTGACGAATCATTGTTATGAACTGATCATGTTGTTAAAATATACAACAAGTTAAATAGCGCAAAACTCGCCATCAGAAGAGTGAAGCACATCAGCTCTGATGAAGCCGTCAAGATAGCTTACACCCACACCTCTCTGTTTGAGTGCCACTTGCGGTATGGAATTGTTCTTTGGGGTGCTGCATCATTTAACATCTTAAAGCGTGTCCTTGTGGTTCAAAAGAGTACTGTCCGAATGCTGGCTAATCTCGAAAATGAAGAAAGCTGCAGAATATCCTTTAAAGAATTAAGGCTTCAAACTGTGATCAACATCTATCTGCTTGAAGTGATCTGCTTTGACGTCTCCAAGAACCTGCAACGTAATTTCAGCAACCACGATCACAATACGAGAAATGCTCAGGACTTCAACTTACCAGTACATCACACACTGCGATTCCAACTGAAGCCATCTTATACTGGAGCTAAACTTTTTAACGCATTGCCTACAGAATTGAAGAGAACCTCCCCTAATATGTTCAAGAGAAGACTCTCTGAATGGCTACTCCTGCATCCATTTTACAAAATGAGTGAATTCATGGACTGGCAGAACTTTGAAATGTACCTAAATTAAGGTCTTAGGTTTCATTTTATTATACGTATTCTGACTCCATTGTTAATCTTGAAGATTGTACAATAAAGATTCTCTCTCTCCCCGTGCCGGCACGCTAGTCATAGCTAACTTGGGCCTACTTCCATGTAGTGAAACTCGGGAAAATAGGAAAAGTGTTTATGGACTTTAATGCAAGTTAGGCTAAGCCTAAGGTGTGGTGTAGGCCAAATTAAGTTTTTAGGCTTTTTATGTAGCCTCATGCATACTTTGGTTACACAACTAATTTAACTTTCACAATAAATTTTACAGAATTGATTACATAACCAAAAAACTTACTAACACCCTTCCTCGTATTAAATTAGTATTGTTAATAGGCCTACGTATTACTGATATAAAACGTCTCCCATAAAGGATTAATTGTTCGTTAGTTACTACATCATCTATTATGCTTTAAAATACTTACAATATTTTCTATACGGTAAGTAACTTATTTTTATGTTATCTTCTTGTTGTCTTGTTTTGTGTACTCTTCTTCTTCTTGTAGTGTTTGTTTATGTGTGGTTTACTGGTTTGGTATGGTATCGATATCCGATATATCGGAAGTAACGATATTTTGGTTCCGATATATCGATATTTTTATATCGATGTTAGAGTGTTAGACTTCTGATATTATCGGGTATCATGGTGGAAGGAAAAAACACTTTTCCTTCCACCATGATCGGGTATATCAATATTTTACTTCGATATTATCGTTACTTACGTTTTACCATAGACTAACCAAGTTTTAAGGGAGTATGTTTTATCTATGGTTTTACTTACGTTACGTTTTACTTTGATTTTAGCATTTTTTTAAAGAATCTATACAATCCTATGTATGTTTGTTTGTCCTTTATGGACTACAAAACTGCTCGACTGTTTGTAATGAAACTTTCAGGTATTATTAGGCATTATTCAAAGATGGTTTGAGTGAAGTTTGGTGCAGATCCGTCAAAAGGGCTCCGGGGCTCCGCCCCGCCCCAGTGGCTCTGGAATTTTCCATGTTAACCTTATGAGTATTCATATTTAAATGGAATTAAAGAATCTTAACAGCTGGTTTAACTAAACAATTTGATTCTGTGATGTTCAATAGCATTAAAAATTAATAGGTTCACCAACAGGGTGCAGCACAATAATTTTTTTATAATTTATGACAACAGCTAATTTGCAACCAAAAGGTGAGTGAGCGCAGCGAACGAACTTCAACCTGGAGGTGAGTTAGCGTAGCAAAAAAACTAATCTGAAGTCAAGTGAGCGCAGCGAACGAGCTCTAACCTAAAGGTGAGTGAGCGTAGCGAACGAACTTCAACCAGGACGTGATTGAGCCATGCGAACGAGCTCATCTTGAAAATGAACGAGCATTTGACATCAAACCGAATTAGGACAGGACGACGTAAGTCATTAAGTCATAAGTCATTTATTTAGCCAAATCAACCAATTACAATTAGTGTTAGCTATGTCAAAATAAACTAAAATGAACTGGAGTAAAACTAAAATACACAACTTCTTAGGTATTTAAAATTTGTAAGACTATTTACAAGTTGTGACTACCAGCCAAAAAATCGTCTGTCGGGCCAGCTAGTAATCTATCTATATAATTAATCACGCTACATGAAACTTTGTCGGTTGAACTCCTCCGCCATTTCTTAACCGATTTTATCCATTCACATCTCATTGGAAAGAGCGTGTCGCGTAGATTTGCAAACTGGCCTTACATTTTTGAAAAAGTCCCTTGGGCTCTGCCCCAGTGGCTGTTAAAGTTCCCATGTTATCCTTATGAAGAACATAATATTGTTTACTGCTATTGTTGCTGTTATTTATTTTTCAATTCAATTAAACGCATTGGGTACATTTACTGATTTTGTTGAAATTAAATATTGACTATTTTAATTTACATTCGTATATATTACAATGTAAAAAATCGAGAAAGCCTAGACAATTTGATATATTTTACCAAATAAGAAAAATGAATTGACATAGTATTGTATTTCTTGAAAAATCATTGAAATAACCAATTTGTTAGCCATGGAAACATAGCAAAGTCATAGAACGCCACCAAGTGGAAGAAATGGAGATTAAAAACCGCCGCAGCAAACCTGCAGACTAAGCGAATTTCCATTTGACTCATTGGATTTACACTGAAATGTCTACTTAAAAATATAACAGTTAGTAAGAAATAAAAATTTTTTCCAAATTTGATCAAAATATGTTCATAAACAAGCAAACTACAACAGTTTACTTATTCTCCATAAGAATAACATGGGAATTTTAAATTTACAATTTTTTGAAATTTTCTCCGTAACCATTATGCGCATAATAACGCTTCAATATACTAAATTATTTGTTTTTTTTAAGCTCTACAAAATGGTTTAGAAAGAAATTGCAAAATTTTATGTTTTTTGAGTCAAAAATGGGAAAAACCTATTTTTACCCCATAAAACCCCCCATAAACCCCCGTTCCCATGGTCCGATCATGCTGGATCGCGAACTCGTTCGAATAAACGTAGGTTTACACGTTTGTACCAAATTTAATCAAAATCGGATCATTTTTGCTCGAGTTATCGTGCTAACGGACACATATATATAAATATATATATATATATATATATATATATATATATATATGAATTTGAACGAATGGTGTTTTTGGCCTCTAGGGACCTCAAAACGAAAAAAAAATCGGTCCCGCGTCCAGGTCTTACCATGAGTACTACGGAAATAGCTTTATTCCCTATATGGGAAATTCGCTAAAACATTTACTATCGTACTATATAATGAAGAACACCTACAATCTGAAGATTCCCACAAACAGTGAACAACTATGTTAGCCGAAGTGCTTCTATTTTGTAGGAAACACGGACTTAACTTAACTTTATGATGATTGGCAAAGGAAACCCCTTCAAGGGTGAAGGATGGTTTGTGTTAAGTTTGGTGCAGATCCGTCATAAGGGCTCCGCCCCATTGGCGCTAGAGTTTCCCATGTTAAACTTAGGCTGGGCGCACACTGACCCATCATTTCATCCGAAGCAAAATGTTACGAAACGATTTGCTTGAAGCGTTTTGTTTCTTTGCTTCTCCAGTGCGAGGTTTATGCATGATACAGCATTTGGTTTCTAGCAAAAATTAAATAGTTATTTGTGTAACTAGTGGGCAAAGTGGCACTTTGCTGCACACGAGATCAATGTTAACTCGAGTGCAGCAAATGCCTTTATTTGCACTCGTGTTACACATTATATTTTTCCTACAGTCACTATAAAGCATATAAATAATTAGTCTTTCAAACACTATACAACATGTTTTTAGGTTCAGCTGGCAACACAAATAAGTGTCCTAGATAAAGTAGTTACCGGTCCATATCACTCCGCTATTTTTTCTTTTCCTCAGCAAGCAATGTGCTCCGCGACTTGAGAATATAGTTCCGTATGTTTTTGTAATTTGAAGTGGTTTCCGCGCCTAAAAAGATGCTTTAAAGGTATTTTCTTGTTTATTAAGTTCGTAGGAATGTTTAAAAAACGTTTAAAAGAAAAGTCCAGAAATTTCAGAAATACCGAAAAGAGAACGTAAACTATAAACACGAAATGACAGGTTAAATCGTAGTTATAATAGGCAATCAGCTGCTCATAGTATTATTATCTTTAAGTGTTGCCAACCTATTTCCAAGCGTACATGGATTACGTGCATAATAGAACCACGCTGTTTTGTGTTGTTTCGTTGGAATCCTGATGTGCGCCAAAGTATATACCGTACGACAAAGTATAAACCGTACGACAAAGTATGAATATGCAGCAATTAGCAGCTTGCTCTACTATAAACAATACAAGGAAGCCAACTTTGTCGGGCGACTGTAGGAAAAAATTTTGAGCCTTTTTAATTTTTAAAGGGATTCTGCAATTCTACAGGAAAATATCTTTCTAACGGCATGCTTAGATTTTCCCTGCGATGCACACGAGCTGAGAAAAAAGGTTTTAAAGAAACATGCTTGCCTATTAATATATAGATGGATTCAATATTTTGAATGATATTAAATCAACGTTTTTGATATGGTCGACCCTAAAAGACTACCAATCCACTAGTGACCGTAACAGCCTTAACAGGAAGATTAAAATCTCTTTAATAAAGGTTTGTTCCCTTAGGAATGTTTTTATTAAAAATATACCGGTATTTTATCGGGAAGTTTCTCGTCAAGACCTTATATCCAAGGATGCGGTTCATAGGCGTGCAGCTTACGGTTTTCTCAAACATTTGTGTTCTTTATAAGCTTTATAAATAAATGTAGCCAAAAAGTTAGTATCAATCAATATACATACTGGGGACCTTTTTGATAGACATTAAACTCTGGAATCATTTTTATTATAGCGATGTAATTTTCATGTAAGCGACGTAATTTACAGGCATAGGGACGATTTAAAAGGCTTTGACATTCAAAGACCTTTAATTCGCTGACTGGCTGTTTCTAGTGCTTAGTGTGCTAGTGTTACACTTTTCTTTCTTTCTTTCCGAAGTGGATTGTGTGTGACTCTGACTCATTGTTCTAAGTTTGTGCAATCGTCCTGAATTTAATTAGTGAATTGAAACGTGACTAACAATATAGAAAAATAGGCTGATTAACCGGCCTTTGTGTCCGATGTCTAGTGCTGAGGTGGTGGACAATTCCGTTGATCCTCCTGCTAAGAAACGGAAGATTGCTTCAGGAGACGGTACTCCAGCGAAATCCGTTTCACAGGCTTCTGCAGACATGGCGAAAAATGGTTCGTCCCTTCCCAACGAGGAGATTGACGAGGGATTGTATTCAAGACAACTTTACGTTTTGGGCCATGATGCTATGCGTCAAATGGCTTCATCTGATGTTCTAATATCTGGTTTGGGTGGACTAGGGGTTGAAGTTGCCAAAAACGTCATTCTAGGTGGTGTTAAGTCTGTGACTTTACATGACAATTCAGTTTGCACCATAGATGACTTGTCCTCTCAGTTTTACCTTACTGAATCAGACATTGGTAAAAACCGTGCTGAAGCTTGCTTTGGACAGCTTTCAGAGTTGAATAATTATGTTCCTACTAAAGCGTTTGCTGGACAGCTTTCCGATGACATCATCAAGTCATTTCGCGTTGTTGTTTTAACAGATAGTTCCTTGGACGAACAAAAACGAATATCTGAAATCACTCACGCTAATAACATTGCTTTAATTGTTGCGAGCACCAAGGGACTTTTTGCTCAAGTCTTTTGTGATTTTGGTGAGGGATTTTGTGTAGTTGACACCACAGGAGAAAACCCGGTCTCGGCCATGATTGCAAGCGTTTCTAAAGACATTGATGGTGTTGTAACCTGCTTAGATGATACGAGACATGGACTTGAAGATGGCGACTACGTAACCTTCACTGAAATTCAAGGTATGGTAGAACTGAATAATTGTGAGCCTAAAAAAATTAAAGTCCTTGGCCCTTACACATTTAGCATTGGGGACACAACCAAGTTTTCTGACTATGTTAGAGGGGGAATTGTAACTCAAGTCAAAATGCCAAAAAATGTTAGTTTCAAATGTCTCTCTGACAGTTTGAAAGAACCTGAGTTTTTAATAACAGATTTCGGTAAGTTTGACCATCCTGCTCAGCTTCATTTAGCTTTCCAAGCTTTGGATGCATTTGAGAAAAACAAAGGCAGGAAACCCAAACCTTGGAGCAAGGAAGATGCTGCAGAATTTGTTAATTTAGTAAGCGACATCAATAAAGCTGAAGGAAGTAATGTAGAACTAAATAATGATTTGCTGGGACTGTTTTGCAAGGTTTCATCTGGTAATCTGTGTGCTATGAATGCAACAATTGGTGGTGTTGTTGCACAAGAAGTTATGAAAGCATGCAGTGGTAAATTCTCCCCTATTTACCAGTGGCTTTATTTTGATGCCATTGAATGTCTGCCAGAAAGTAAGGATATCCCTGAAACTGACTGTCAACCTTCTGGTAACCGCTATGATGGTCAGATTGCTGTGTTTGGTAAGGAGTTTCAGAAGAGATTGGGCTCCCTAAAATATTTTGTTGTTGGTGCTGGAGCAATTGGATGTGAATTACTCAAGAATTTTGCTATGATGGGTGTTGGAGCAGGTAATGGACAAATTATAGTCACTGATATGGATTTGATTGAGAAGTCAAACTTAAACAGGCAGTTTCTCTTCCGTCCCCATGATGTCCAAAGACCAAAATCTGCTACAGCTGCGAAAGCTATTCGACAAATGAACCCATCAGTCAACGTTGTTGCACATGAGAACAGGGTAGGACCGGAAACTGAGAAAACTTATGATGATGAGTTTTTTGATAGATTAGATGGTGTGGCTAATGCTTTGGACAATGTAGAGGCCCGTATTTATATGGATCGCAGATGTGTCTATTATCGTAAGCCCCTATTGGAATCTGGTACTTTGGGAACAAAAGGAAATACCCAGGTTGTTGTACCATTTCTTACAGAGTCTTATAGTTCTTCACAAGACCCACCAGAAAAAAGTATCCCTATTTGTACTTTGAAAAACTTCCCTAATGCTATTGAACACACATTGCAATGGGCAAGAGACAACTTTGAAGGTTTGTTTCGTCAGTCAGCTGAAAATGCAGCTCTATACCTGAATGACCCCAATTTCATTGATCGTACATTAAAATTGCCTGGTGTTCAACCCGTGGAAGTGCTTGAGTCTGTGAAACTGGCTCTAGTAGATGAAAGACCACAATCATTTGAAGATTGCGTGGATTGGGCCCGAAATCATTGGCAAGAACAATATTCCAATCAAATCAAACAACTTCTCTTCAACTTTCCAAAAGACCAGCTCACTGCAAGCGGCCAACCATTTTGGTCAGGTCCCAAGAGGTGTCCAAAACCACTTCAGTTTTCTGTAGAAGACCCACTTCATTTGGATTATGTATTTGCAGCTGCAAATCTGAAAGCTCATGTATATGGCATCCCTCAAAACAGGGACAGAGAAGCTATTTCCGATATGGTTAAGAAAGTAAATGTGCCTGAATTCATCCCTAAATCTGGCGTCAAGATTGCTGTAAATGATTCTCAGATGCAAATGGCCAATGGAAATTCTAATGTTGATCATGATAAAATAGGCCAACTACAAAGAGAACTACCATCAAGAGAGCAGTTGCGTAGCTTGAAGATCACTCCCCTTGATTTTGAAAAGGACGATGATTCCAACTTTCACATGGACTTTATTGTTGCAGCTTCAAACTTGCGTGCTGAAAACTACAGTATACCACAAGCTGATCGTCATACAAGCAAGCTTATTGCTGGAAAGATTATTCCAGCTATTGCGACAACAACATCAGTTGTTGGTGGGCTAGTAGCACTTGAATTAATCAAACTAGCTCAAGGTTTCAATAAGGTAGAGCCATTTAAAAATGGATTTGTCAACTTAGCACTTCCATTTTTTGGGTTTTCCGAACCCATCGCAGCTCCAAAGCTCACCTATTATGACAAGGAATGGACGATTTGGGATCGGTTTGAAGTTCAAGGAGAACTAACCCTAAAAGAGTTCATAGATTACTTCAAAGAAAAACACGGTCTGGAAATTACAATGTTGTCCCAAGGTGTTTGCATGTTGTATTCCTTCTTCATGCCTCCAGCAAAGTTGCAGGAACGAATGAACTTGCCAATGTCAGAAGTAGTCCGTAAAGTATCAAAAAAGAAACTGGAATCCCATGTGAAGGCGTTAGTGTTTGAACTGTGCTGCAACGATACTGATGGAAACGATGTTGAAGTGCCGTATGTACGATATACTTTGCCCTTTCGTGCCTAATTTGGAGGCTATTAGATCTCTTTGTGGTTTGCATTGTTTTAAACCGACTTGTTTGAGCTAAATAAATTTTTCTTCATTTACCATTTGCATAAAGTACTGGCAATACAGTAAACTAATTGCAATTTTTTAAGAATCACTCACAAATTTTTAATAAATGCATTATTTTGATGTATTTCTTGTTTCTATTTTCTTTAGGTATAATTCATTTTTTGTTAACTACATAAAATTTAAACATAAAATTGAAGTTGAGAGTATCAGATAAGCTATTTTTATCAGCAATTAGACCTACTGTTTGGTTGAACATTACCTATTTTGAAAGGCATACATGTTAGCAAATTCTTTTTCTGATCAAATGAACGTAACATATTGTAATCCAAATTGATTTAGCCTAGTTCATATTTGCACAATAAAACTTTAAAAAATTGGCCTTACATTAACAGTAAGTTAAATATGTGCCAGTTCATAAATAATTTATTTTTCAGGAAACTGTTCAACTATAACTTTTACTCAGATATAATTCTCTGTAAAATATTTTGATGTTGATCTAATTTAGGCTAAGGTATTTGTAGGCTAACTAAGTGTCCTTAAATAAGTTTAATCTGTATTTCATGAACTGTGGCATACTCTCCTGTTATTGATAACAATTTACTTAAAATCTTTTTATCTTATTGCAGCGCCAGCACATGAAAGCAAAGTTCTCATTTTCTGGAATCGGTTTAGTATTTTTCTTATTTTGAAATAAGGAACCAATTTTGTAAATTATGAGAGGGTGTTGCCAAAGTAATTATCATTTAGTTTTCAGCTACAAATAATGTACAGTAGCCTTCAAATCTTCGAATTCAATTTTTTCATTGGGTTTTCAATAAGTTTCCATCTAATTTAGGTAGGTTTAAAATATATACCTCACTTGTATTTTTTATCATCAAAAGAAATACCTTTATTCAAGGCACAGTAATTAAATTTATTGCTTTGAAAATATTATCTTTCAAAGGTTTCTGTCCAGGCCTAAAGATTATTACACTCCTTCATGATACTAATTGGTTTTTAAAATTAGGCCTACCTCCAATTCAACCTAAATGAATGATTTTATGTTTAAGTATAGTACCATTCAAAGTTTAATTTATAGGCCTAATGGAAAAACTCATTGGTGAAAGTTTAATTGTTTAATGTAAGTAGTTGTAAGCAGTTGTATCATTTATATTTGGAAGTAGCTTGTGTAAAATCTGGTAACCATATAGCCTACCTATCTGATTTGTTTGTGCATTAGAACATTATTCTTTGAAATTATGTTAGAGATGATACAGGTTTTAAAAAATATCACAATTTTACTCAAATATTAACTTATATTGGAGCACATACTGGTACTGGTACTCTACCTAGATAACAAAACAATGTGGCCTAAATTAGAATATCAACAATCACATCTTTAAAGTTTGACACTATTTTGTTTAAGTAATTACTTAAGGCTCAGATTATGTAGGGCCTACCTACATGCAATCATTAAAACAATAATACTGAAAATGGGTTTTAAGTGTTGCAAACCAATTTGAGATGGGCATTTCTTACTGTAAAAATTTTAAGAGAGATATTTTATTTGTAATATATGCTACTATTGATATGTAATAGGTAACAAATAACATGTGTTATTTATCGGCCCCGAGTCTTAAGCTTTTTATGTTGGATGTGGGCATATAATTTAAAATGAAGTTTTCAGCTCAATATTGGTTTTTATTATGAATATATTTATTAAATAAAGGAAATAGTAATAATAACTTTTTTTTTCATTAGTTTAGTAACTTGTGTACCTATAGCCTAACAATATTTGGAGTGTCAATTTTGCATTTTAATGTACTTTCACAGATAATCATTTATTTTGTTGGTAGTGCAGATGTTTTTCATAATTATTATGTATTGTTATTGTCTTTTTTACAATGGTAATATTGATTTGTAAAAGTTATTAGATTGATATTGTCACAGTATAGATTTAGGCCTTGCTGTCTAACTACTACTTAAAATATAATCTGCCTAAAATTTCATTTTGATTTTGTAATGCCGGTAATTTGAACAGATTTATGATATTAAATTGTTTGTATTTCATATGTGGTGTTTCATTTATCTATCACAATACCAGATTTCAAAACTCACTAATGACCTTGTTTTAATTCAGTGGTTTCAAATTAAAATCAAGTTTAATAAAGTTTCTGTAGTTTGAATTACAAGTTACCATTTTCACTGATTTCATAATTGCCCAATAAATTGTTGCATGTAAAATAAAATAGGCTACAATAGACTTTACCTTCTTGACAAAATGTTCTATTTATCAGAATTTCTTTTGAGATTTTTGTGCTTTAACAAACTTCTAGGTTATTAATTAAATATACTTCTATCAAAAGATCAACGTTTTTAAAGTTCATTATCCATATAAATAAAATTAAAATTTTCTTTAATGTGATTTTTGGTAATATTTTATGGAAATGATTGCTATTAAGGCCTTAAGTGAATTGAGATTATTGATCTTTTTTGCCTTGAAAAACACCAAGTTTATAACCAATATATATTCCTCAGCCTAGCCTGTGTAGTTGCAAAATTACAAGGCCTAACACTGATCCAAATCCATTAAAAGTTAAATGTTGTGAATTTATTGGTTCAGCAAGAACTTCTGGAGATCTTCAGTACTTTTTGTTGATGGATTAGTGTTCTTGGTTTTGAACGGCAATTAGCCTAACTCATGAAACTTGCATTAAATACACATGTGCAATAGGGTTTGGAACCAATAATCTATGGCAAAATAATGTTTACCTATTTCACAGATATGAATTGTTTAAAAAAGAACATTTACAGGGTAAAGCGTGGTCATTGAATTAACACTGTAGTGGCGCTGTTGGTTGAAGAGAAGGGAGAGTGGCTGTGGTTTATAGGTAACAACAGAGGTATACATCCCATGCAGTTTTTTTTTTTTTTAACTCGCTCGATGATAACTGTACAGAGAGCTTTTAGTTTGCAATTCACAATATTCCATGTTATCAGGTTTTTGGATGGCAACCTTACTAGGTAAACCTTATCCAAACAACAAAGAATATGTAACTTAAAATCTAAATTTTAAAATAAATACTTAACCAATGTTCTTGTAATTTTTAACTTTGTTTTCGTGATGTGGCGCCAGCATAGCTGCTGGAAAGCACTCATAAAATAATAATCACAAGAAAATTTCTGTAGTATTTATTTTAAAGTAACCCAAAATTGAAAAACCATCAGATCAGAAACAAGCATTTGCTTTTGGCATATCATCTTCTTTAGTGATATATTTGCTTACTCTGCAGAGCACACATTCGACCTTTAGACCATCATCAGCTCCTCGTCACACTAGGATTTATTGCATCTGTCCTATATCTCAACAGTCAATTTCAAAAAGCCATATACCACGCTCAACCCTGTATATCTATACTACTTTAAAATAGCCCTAATCAATAAATTTCTTCGCTATACCTGCACAGCAACCTATGTCATAGCAGTTCTGTTTGTCTATGACTTTTAGAAAATTGGGTATAAAACATAAAAAAGAATAGTCAATTTCAGTGGTGTAGTTGTATGTAAACTGTCCGGCGTGGAAACGCTTGCCATCGTCTAAGAGCTGACTAACACATAGGATTAATATACAGTACTATTGGAAAAACAGTGGGAACACCATTCCCGCTCCTCTACACCTTTAATAAATTTACACATAAAGTAATTTGCATTATCTGCGTTGATTTTCAATTAGAAATAATCCCACCTCATTTCAACTTAGTGGGTGTGGATGTTACAAAATAGGCTATACATCATAAAGATGGGGTACATAATTAAAACTTGAAATTAAATGAAATGAAATTTTTATTTGTGTAACTAGTGGGCAATGTGGCACTTTGCTGCACACAAGAGCAATGTTTACGCACGAGCCGCAGGCGAGTGTGGAATGATCTCGAGTGCAGCAAAGGCCTTTAGCACTCGTGTTACACATTATATTTTTCCTACAGTCACTATAAAGCATCTATATAATTAATATGCTACATGAAACTTTGTCGGTTGAACTCCTCCGCCATTTCTTAACCGATTTTATCCATTGACGTCTCATTGGAAAGAGCGTGTAGCGTAGATTTGCAAACTGGCCTTACATTTTTGAAAAAGTCTCTTGGGCTCTGCCCCAGTGGCTTTGAAAGTTCCCATGTTATCCTTATGAAGAACATAATTGTTTACATTTTGATCAGCTGTATAATTTAATTGCTGTTATTTATTTTTCAATTCAAAGAAACGCATTGAGTACATTTATTTACTATTTGAGTTTGTGTAAACATAACCCTCAAGACGGATCGTGTCAGTATGGTTGTATCTTAAATTTGTGTATTTATCGTTGTTTTGTGTCGCTTTGACGGATCGTGTTAGCGTGATTGCAACTTAAATTTGTGCATTTATCGTTGTTTTGTGTAGCTATAATTTGTTTATTTGCTGTTTTTTTTTTCTTTTAAATGCCTCCGACGCGACGACAACGAAACATAGACAGGAGGCGTAATCGTGATAACGACCGCAGCTACGTACAGAACAGTGGCGCGTAATAAATAGGCTTAACTCATCACAGTCAGCACCTGACCCTGGACAACGAAACATAGACAGGAGGCGTAATCGTGATAACAACCGCAGCTACGTACAGAACAGTGGCGCGTAATAAATAGGCTTAACTCATCACAGTCAGCACCTGACCCTGGACAATCTCAACTTTTAGGTTACAAATGCGCCCTAACACTACCCCAAAACGACGACTTTTCGTTCTCAATTGGTCCTCTATCAATGACCTGTGTTGCCTGTACAGCGAGGCATTTTGAGAAGGAGAAAACCGGTCGGAATACTTTAGGTTTATCAATAACGAAGATAAACATGGTCTGAGTTATACACCGGTAATCTTTGAGTTGACTCTTTTAAACTCATTGTAAATATGACTGTTATTCGTTTTGATATAAATCCTGTAATACTTTGCAATTGCTCAAATTCGAGCAACATGTACACTAGTATAAATAATTAGCCTTTCAAACACTATACAACACCTTTTTAGGTTCAGCTGGCAACACAAATAGGTGCCCTAGAGAAAGTAGTACCCGGTCCGTATCACTCCGCTATTTTTCCTCGGTAAGAAATGTGCTCCACGTTTTGCGAATATAGTTCCGTATGTTTTTGCAATTTGAAGTGGTTTCCCCGCCTAAAAAAATGCTTTAAAGGTATTTTCTTGTTTGTTAAGATCGTAGGAATGTTTGAAAAACGTTTAAAAGAAAAGTCCAGAAATACCGAAACTATAAACACGAAATGACAGGTTAAATCGTAGTTATAATAGTCAATCAGCTGCTCATAGTATTATTATCTTTAAGTGTTGCCAACATATTTCCAAGCGTACACGGATTACGTGCATAATAGAGCCACGCTGTTTTGTGTTGTTTCGTTGGAATCCTGATGTGCGGCAAAGTATAAACCGTACGGCAAAGTATAAATATGCAACAATTAGCAGCTTTCTGTACTATAAACAGTACAAGAAAGCCAACTTTGTCGGGTGACTGTAGGAAAAATATCTTCATTCATATGGTATACAGTCACATACATTTAATGGCGTCACTAGGCTTAAAACAAAATCAAACTAACCTACAATTCATCAAAACCGTAAAGTGTTTTATCAGTTAAAAAATGTTTAGGTTTATTTTTAAATTTGGAAAATGTTATCAATATTCCTCACCTCAGCTGGGAGTTCCTCCAAAAACCTTTTCCCTGCACAGGTGGTTTTTTTGTTAAAGAGCTCCAAATTATAGGAACTGACAGCAATTTCATTTCTGTTCCGGGTAAAATAATTATAATCACCAAAGTTTTGGGACCAAATTAGCATTAGTTTTTAAAGAACTTCCCTATAGGGAAGTAGCTAATACTGTTAGTCGCATGATAAGATCTAGGCTTGGGAACGATTTACTTTTTCATTTTGATGTCCCCAAAGGCCAAAAACACCATTTTTTCAAATTTATACAGGGTGGTAATAAAATCCGAAGACAGTTAAATATTTAAAAAAATAATGTAGATAGAGCTACAATACTTGGTACAAAGTTACAGAGCATAAAACTTTATTTTAACACATATTCAGTAATCCAATAACTCTTCAGGGGGACGGCCCACAAGGAGTCGTTCGAAAATCTTAAATGGAAGCATAGGTCAATATGCACATCAAATGAAAGGTATTTTTTTGTAGAATACAATGCCACAAACTGCACTTCAAAAGGTTGATCCTGCGCAAAATGCCAGCCGTTCAAAAATTTCTTGAATCTGCCATTTTGTAGCTTTGAACGACTGCCTTTTTTTACTCAGGCTTTCTTTTGAGCTTGAATTTACGGCATTGTAATCTACTAGTGAAGACCTTTAATTTGATGTGCATATCAACCTATGCTTACGTTAACAATTTTCTTCCGATTCCTAGGGCGCTGTGCCCCCTGAGGAGTAAGCGTATAATAGCAATGCAAATTAAATGAATCTTTGAACAACTGTCATTCTTGGCTCGGTTGTCCGTTTGAGTTCAAATTTGCGGCAGTATATTCTGTTAGTAAAGACCTTCAATTTGATGTACATGTCAACCTCTGCTTCTATTTAAGATTTCCTCCTGACTCCTTGCGGGACGTCCCCATGATATAACAGATAATTGATATTTCCTATAAAAAGTAGATTTTTAGGTATTGTGTTGACGTACCAAATCTTATTGATTATCTGTTGTCGTTTCGAAAATAACTGTCTTTGGACTTTATTACCACCCTGTATATATATAAATATAATACCCCCGCCGCAGCAAACCTGCCGACTAAGCGAATTTCCATTTGTCGGAATTGATTTTCAATTACCTATTTAAATGACATTAGGTTTAACGAGTCCCTAGGTTTGCTGCTACAAGGAAACTGTCAAAGTAGGGTTTTTAGTAAAATATTAATAGACTAGGTGGCGTTCGCAGAGGCATCCACAAAATTGAGCGGAGTCATCAAGGGTTCATATTATATTGTTATAATCTAATCGTCACAAATAGTTCCCACAGTCTGAACTGCTTGCCT